TGGCTCAGCATGATCACAAATTGCAGGCTAGCATTTTGAAATGTCATTTTTATTGATCTCCATTTGATGTTCCATTTGCCTTTCCTGGAGTACACAAATTATGTTTATGGCATTTCTCTAATAGCAAACCTTGAAAATCTAAGTTAAATGAGCTCTGAAAAAAAAATAACCAAATGAAATATCAACTAAACAAAATTATCTGGATGTACATAAATTAACACTGATTTTAGCATTCGAATTTGTCTTTCCTAAGACTTCATAGGTCACAATAAAGGTGCAAACATACTACATAATAGAATATTAACACATTTCAGAGCATAACAGGCAGCTTAAAAGCTTAAAAAAAAAAAAGGAAAAGCAAATCTCAGGCAGAAAATTTACATCTGTCAATTGAACTCCTATAAAACATAAAGCATGAAGCTGGGCCTGGTGGCATATGTCTATAATCCCAGTGATTCCGAAAGCAGAGGCAGGAGGATTCCAAGTTTTAGGCTAGCCTCAGCAACTTAGCAAGACCCTGTCTCAAAATGTTAAAAGAGGGCTGGGGATATAGCTCAGTGGTAGAGTGCTTACCTAGCATAGACCAAGCGGTGGGTTCCACCCCCGCCCACTGGCAAAAAAAAAAAAAAAAAAGCATGATTCAAGGAGTTGAGATTAGAATAAATAAATATCAAATCCTATTCTGCAAACTAGAAACCTGTGCAGCACTGCAAATTCCATGATTTAAAAAAAATAGTAACAAAAGTCAACTTATCTTGCCAGTTACCATCGTGCCTTTCTAAAATTTCAAAAATAGTCAATAAAAAGCTCTTGTTGGTGCCCAAAAAGAGATGTGCATTAATAGGTACAAAGTTTAAATGCAGTTTAGAACTTTCAAATATAGTAGCTCTTGAATAAGCTAAATTTATAAATGAGTTGTATGAAATTAAATTATACACATTAGAAAATAATCTCAAGTAGGAATACATCATACTTGGGTCCTTTTACATACAAGAATAAACTGCTAGTCTCAAACTGAAGACACTTTTAATAGGTAATTAATTAAGGATTTGACTTTAAAAAGCCAATTTTCAGTAGGATTTATCTTAAAGCACCACAAAATTTCAGAATGACTGATTTCAAACTTGTACCCCACATAAAGCATGTAAGAAAGCCCAGAAGAATCACTTAGAAAGTGTCGCAGTGAAATCAATGACAGCACATTTCAAAAACTTTCAACTTCTACTCATCTTCCAGCACCTATTTGAGTACTGTGTCCTTAAGCTGTATCGATCAACTAATTTACAAGTTCCTCACTTTCCAGAGCATGTAGTCTTTTCTATGAATACTGTTGATGTCTAACATAATCTTCCTCATTCTGTATAATCTTTATATATATATATGTATATATATGTATATGTATATATAATATGTTTATATATCTCAACCCATTACTAGCATTTTAAGTTCTTTATTGAGACTTCAACAATACCGGATGAACACATGATTGAATGGATGGATGGAAGCTACTAGAAACAAAAGCCAAGGTCACAAATGGTTTCAGGGCTGGGGATATAGCTCACTAGTACAGTGTCTGCTTTGCTTGCACAAGGCCCTAGGTACAAGATCCTGGGTTCAATCCCCAGCACCATGAAAGAACAAATGGTTTAAGATGTTGAAAACAATTTTATTAAGACAAGCTTTCAAGGATGAGCACAAGATACATTAAATTATGGTCCCCAATAAATAATCTTTTGGAAATCCTCTAAAACTTCATAATTTAGCAAGTGATTTATGTTTTCATTAATATATGTATTTAAAAAATTATTTATTATCACAGCTGGGAACATGGCTTGATGATAGAAGGCTTGCCTAGCATGCCAGGTTTGATTCCCAGCTCTGGGGGAAAAAAAAAATTCTTTATTATCAAAAAAACACATTCTGACAGGACAAAGATAAGAACAGTGGTTTAGCTCTGGACTAAAATTTTATCATATAGGGAAATAAGAACACCTAGATTTTTTTGAATTTAATTGAATCACTAATATCCTTTGTAATAATATGAAAAACATGCTTATCACATAAAAGAAGGGGATAAGGGCAAAGTACAAGACTCTGTTTACATTATGACTACAACCTTGTAAAACAAAGAAAACTTGGCACAGCAAAACTCACCAGCCGGAATTTCTACAAAATGAACAAAGCAATATGTTCAGGTGTGTACATAGTGTTTCTCCTCTTTCCTATGTCTTCAACATTCTATTTTCTCTCATGATAACCTCATCATGGTGTAATACTATACCACTCCTTACCTTTTAACTCTCTGTACCTCCTAACATGAAATCATTATACAACATTTACTAATCACTATCTGCTTTTATGTTTTAAAATGATGCTTTAGAGTCACAGAGTCACAACTCAGTCATTCTTGCAGCATGAACTTCAAGTTATTTAACTTCTGCAAGTCTCAATTTTCTCATCTAAGTAAACTGCCTAAGCAGGATTAAATTTCATCTCATGAGAAACATCAAGCACAGTGCCAACCTCACAAGAATGCTCACTTTACATTAATTTCCTTCTCAACAGTTTTTGTTGTTGACTGAATTCCCATGCAGTAAGAAGACATTTCTGATTAAGTACAGCAGTTAAGAGGAGACCACATTATCTTAAGAAAAGCTTTGTCCTTAAGAGGGCTTTAAAAGCTAAGAAGCTCAAGGCTGGCATGGTAGCACATGCATGTAATCCTAGGGACTTGGGAGGCTGAGGCAGAAGGATCATAAATTCAAGTACAGCCTCAGCAACTGAGCAAGGCCCTAAGCAACTTAAGTTGTCTCAAAATTTTAGAAAATGGAAGGAGATGTAGCTGAGAGGTAAAATACCTCTGGGTTCAATCCCCAGTATCAAAAACAAATACAGCAACAACAAAAAAGAAAAAGAAGCTCAGGAAAATTATTTCAAGCAGATCTCAGTACTCCTTTGCACTTAGCCAGAATGAGACCCCACAACCCTGAATATAAGCAGCCTGGGTAGCAGGAGGAACTATCATGAAACTGCAAAACCTTTTGTCATTAGCAACCGGGATCTATTTTTATCATCATTATTATCATCATCATCATCATCATCATCATCATCATCATCATATGCAGTACTGAGGACTGAATCCAGGAGTGCTCCACCTTTGAGTACACCACAAGTCTTTCTTATTTTATTTTGAGTCAAGGTCTTACTAAGTTGCCCAGGCTGGCCTCAAACTTGGGATCCTCCAGTCTCAGCCTCCGGAGTCACTGGTATTACAGGTGTATGCCACCACCTGACTCAGATCACAGGCTTCTTAAGGAGCTTCTTTCAGCATATAGAACACCATGCCTTTGACACAGGAGAGTAACGAACTGTAACTCACGGATTTGCTAAGAAATTAAATCTATGACTCAACTCTAATTCACCCAGTGAAACATCTGAACAAAGCAGATTCTTAAAAACAGATATGTATAACTTTAAAAAAATTATTTTGGTTTAGTATTTCAAGAAAGAAACATTACAGTAAATCTTCATGATACTGGATTTGGCAATGACTTTGCAAAGGGAAGGTCTCTTTGTTTTTTGTTTGTTTTGCAGCACTGGAGATTGAAGCCAGACCTGGCACCTGTTGAGCAAGTACTATACCACTGAGCTGCATCCCCAGTCCTTGCCAATAGATTCACAACTCTGATATCAAAAGAGTAAGCAACAAAAGAAAAAATTAATAAATTGAACTTCATCAAAATTAACATCTCTTACGCATCAAAAGAAACCTCCAAAATGGGCAAAAATATCTGCAAATCCCATGTCTGGTAAGGATATAACATCCAAAACATATGAAGAATTCCTGTGACTCGATAATAAAAAGTTACACAGTCCAGTTAAAAATGGACAAAGGACTTGAACATACATTTTTCCAAGAAAGATATAAAAGTGAACAATGCACACATGAAATGATCAGGAACATTAGTAATTAGGGAAATATTTTTAAAAATCAAAAAACTTCTGTAATACCAGCTTTTGGGAGGTTGAAGCAAAAAGATCATAATTTTGAGGCCAATCTAGGCAACCAAGCAATGCTTTGTCCCAAAATAAAAATCAAAAGGGGTTAAGGATATAGCTCAGTTGTATAGTGCCCCCAGGTTCAAATCCCAGTACCACAAGGAAGAAAAGAAAGAAAGAAAGAAAGAAAGAAAGAAAGAGAAAAAAATCAAAATCATAACATACCAATTCACAACTACTAGGATGACAGGATGGCTATCATCAAAAAAAACCCTCCAGCATTGGCAGGGATGTGGAGAAATACCCATACATTGCTATAGGAATATTAAAAAGGTGCAGCCACTATAGAAATGTTTGTCAGGTCCTCAAAAAACTAAACAGAATTATCACATAACCAGGCAATGCCCTAAGGTATCTATCAAGAGAATTAAAAAACAGATTCAAATAGGAATTTGTGTGCCAACTGTCACAACTGTCAAAAGGTGGAAACAAACCCAGTGTTTGTCAACAGATGAATGGATAAAAAAAAAATGTGGTATATACATATAATGAAATATTATTCAACCATAAAAAGAAATGGCGTTCTATCATACACTACAACATGGATGTGCCTTGAACACATTATGCTACGTGAAATAAGCCAAAAGAAAACATTGTATGATTCACTTACATGAGATACCTAGAACAGTCACAGTCATAGCAACAAAAAGCAGACTGCTTACTGATTAATGTGAAAAAATTCCTGTTTGAAGTGATGAAAAAGTTTGGAAATATATAGTGGTAATGGTTGCACAACATTGTGAATATAATTAATGTCATTGAACTGTACACTTAAACATCGATGAAATGATAAGATTTATGAGATAATATATATATATATTACCATGATGTGTGTGTGTATCTCCACAGTAAAAAAAAAAAAAGTAATTTAAAAGAAGAGAAAAAAATAAAAAAGATATACATAAACAGCTAAAATAATAAAGATGATGCCATAGCAGTACCTTTGCACACACTGTGTTCGGGACAGAGGAGGCTGACATCTTTGGTTATGAGCTTCTCGCGCAGCAAGTCTAGCTCCTGACAACTGAAAGACAATGTAAGACCCACTGAACAAATTATCAAACATGTTACCACTCTACAAAAACTAGTATCACATTCTGTTGCAATCCAGCAGCAAGAAATTTTAGCAGCAGAATGTTATAAACAGCATTCATTTGAGGGAAAACAAATCACATAAAACTAGGAAGATTCTATGACAGTCTGAAGCAACACCCGATATATTAAAGCACTGAGAAATTCGTTCTTACAAAGTGATCTTAACAGGTCTACAGAAGAGTTGTAAAGAGAGCATCTTCCCATAAAACTAAAAAGGCTGAAAATTCTCTAGTCAGAGCTTTCAGAAACTTTAATGGGAACTGAGTCCAAGAGGATACCAAGCTTATAACTATTTCTCCAAGTGCCTTCCTCAGTCACCTAGTAGATTAAAGGATATTTAATGTAAAAATAAAAAAAAAATTTTAAATGTTTTCCTAGTTCTAGGAATGATAACCTAGAGTCTTCTGGGAGAAATCTACACAGTATTTGCAAATGGAATGCTTGGAATTGAATATTTGTGCGCCCCCCAAAATTCACATTTTGAAGCCTAGCCCTCAATGAGGTACTGGTTGAGCATCCCTAATTTGGATATTCGATACATATCTAGAGCAGGGGCTTGGGGAAGTAATTAGGTCATGAGAGCTGAGCCTTCATGGATTGTAGTAGTACCCTTTGAAAGACAGCTTGCTCACTCTAGCATGCACATGTTCTCATATTCATACTCATCCATCTCCCACCCTTTCTGCTATGAGAACACAATGAGAAGACAGTCATCTGCACACCAGGAAGTGGGCCTTCACCAGACACTGGATCTACCAGGCCTTCATCTTGGACTTCCTGGCCTCCAGAGCTCTGAGAAGGAAGTATTTGTTGTTTAAACACACCATCTATAGCATTCTTGTTACAGAAGCCCAAGCTAAGACACAGAGAATCAGTCACCCAATACTAACACCTCAGCAAATCTTGAGGTGTGGTGATGCATGTCTATAATCCCCACTTCTAGGCAGGCTGAGGCAGAGGGATCACAAGTTGGAGCCAGCCTGGGCAATTTAGCGAGACTATTACTCAAAATAAAATATATAAAAATGACTGGTGGCTACAGCTTAGTGGTAGGATGCTTGCCTAGCACACATGAGGCCCTGGTTCAGTCCCTAGTACTAGGGGTTGGGAGGAATTCAACTCACTAAATGTTCAAACTGTATTTCCATTGGTTTAGACATTCTCAGTAAAACTGACATTCACTAAAACTAAAAAGTTTATACTCAGAAAATTGTTACCTTTTCATCTTCCCATTGAAAAAAATTACAGTCTTTTCTATCTCTACAGGCTGAGCAGGCATAAAACCTTCGGGTTTCTTCCTTCCCTCGGTTCACCTTGACAAACAGAAGAGTGGGTCCTAATTCCAGAATAGGGAAAAACAAGTCAAAGGACAGTCATCTACAAAGTCCTTAGTTTTCATTGCCTTAAATAAAAACTTGTTTAGGCTGTATGCACAATTTATCATAACTAAGTCCTCTGCTCTTTTTTTAATATTTATTTTTTTAATTGTAGTCTGCTCTCTTTAATAAATTTTCTTTTTCCAGGCACGGACTACTCAGTGGAAATCAGTGGTCTCTACGAGACAGAAAATGCCATGGCCTGTACAGCTGCTGCCTATGTTGTCAACGTTACAAACTTTCGGGTCTTGAGAATAAAATCCCCAAGGATCGAGAACCTGCCACCTCCAGAGCTTTACTGAGCTTTTATGGTAGGACACACCCTCTCTGTAGGAGAGAGAGGAAAACTGGTTTCCGGGTTCAATCTGCCCTTCTCCCTAACTTTCTTCTTAAGACAGCAATCCACAAAGACGCCACCAAGTACTTGTCCCCGGGAGTCACCCAGCACCACGCAGCCCTCCGCCCACCCTGGGCCCTCCTCACTGCCAACAAAGACCTAAGACCCTGGGGCCAAAACCACAGCAGCAGGGACTTGGGAGGGCTTCCCAAATAAGTGGTCAAACACGAGGTCCGGGAAAAAAGGGCGTTTTCTCGGCATCACACATGATACAGAACAAAATCTCTTCCAAAGAACAGTCCTAAAAGCCCACAGCACTTCCAAGCCGCCCCGCGACCGCAGCGCCGGGCCGCAGGGCCGAGCCCGGACGCCGACCCACCGTGAGGGCAGAGCGGGGCGGCCGCGGCAGTGTCGGAGGAGAGCGCCAACTCCACTCCTGAGTCCCCCTGCCGCCTGACGCCCGCCTCAGCCTCCACGGCGGCGGACCGGTTCCTGGGGGCCGCCATCTTCCCACCGCCGTCCCGAAAGCCTCAGTCTGCACCAAGGAGGCTGAGAAGGAGCGCCGCCCTGACCCGCGGCCACGCACAGCGCCCCCGCGCGTCTGGGAGGAGCTGGGGGCCCCGACACTCCGTCCCCGCCCTCCCTGAACTGCCCCTAAGGGGTCCCCAGCCGCCCGCTCCTTGTTGGACCTGTGACAAGAGCTCCCCTCTATCTGCCTTGTCTTAAGCACCTTCTTTCATAAGAACATAGCCAGGAGGTGAGATGAATCATTGGAACAAAGATTGGCTCAGATTGTAGGCCCAAAAGGCAGCGTCCCCACCAAGAGCAGCTAACCAAAAACTGAAACAGCTGCAGCAGCTGCACTTGATGGAGACTTTTGTTTTTACCAAGTGACTGTGTCGTCTCCTCAGTCTCCGATGATATTTATAGATGTCCATTATAATTGCATGCACACTGACATTGACACAACAGAAAGAAAGAAACTGTCCCTATGTGCCAATGATACATAAAATTGTCCACCTAGAAAATGCCAAAGAATGTACGGTTTTTACAACTTCCAGTTAAAAGTGAGTTTGGCAAGGTTGCAGGATATGAGATAAACATACAAACATCAATTGTAGTTCTATATACTAACACTAAGAATATCATTTACAATTGCTCAAAGAAAGGAAATATGTATGACTCTAACATAGCATATACAGAAGTTATGAGCAGAAAATTACAAAATGCTGATGAAGAAATCAGGGATGACAGAAATAAATGTAGAGGGATAGATACTGTGCTCTTTATTTGGAAGACCCAACATTATAAATATGTTATTCTTCCCAGGTTTAGGGCATGCAGGTTTGGTGCAATTTCTCTCAAAATTCCAGCCAAATACAAACAGTTTTATGCTGAAATTTATATGGAAATACAAGAGAATAGCTACAATAATAAGAATAAAGCAGGAGGAATCGATCTATGTAATTTCAAGGCTTACAGCTGCTGTAATGAAGACATACCACATGTGTACATATGTGAGACTATAAATGAAATAGTCAAATATCATCTGTATTATTTAAAGAATTGATACACATACAAATTTAGCATGACCCATTACTATGACATATTATTTTAAAACTATTGCTCTTTGTCATTCACACTCTGCACATGTGCCAGTAACATCTGTGTCTGTGATGTAACATTTTTCTGAGGTATCAGCACAAGTTTCCAGACATAGTAATTTGTACTTCTACATCTGAAAGATAAAGAACTTTCTGGTCCCAAGCATGGTCCCCCTTGGGGGAATTTTATCTGAAGATTTAACTACCCAGTCACATTATCATTTATTTTAAAATGTCTTCCGTATACATTTTGTGATCTGCAAAAGACTTGTTTACAAAATTTTCCATTGAACTCATGAAATCCTACCAACAAAATTAGTTTCTGAATTTCTAAATTTCATTTGCTTGTTTAAATCACGCTGATTCTGTGAGGTGGCCTCTGTAAGCAGTTGAAACCAGTGTGGTGAACTTCCCAAGCAAATATCCCAACAGGTCTGAGGCTGATGCTCAGTGGTGGAGCACTTGCCTGGTATGGGCAAGGCCTGGGTTTCCATTCCTGGTGTAGACTGTGCACACACACACACACACACACAAAGTTAATCCAGACAAGTAAATGACAGAGTAGTCAGAGATAGTAAAGTTTACAAAAATAAGGCAATTATCTCTTTTTTGAGGGAAAACTTTGAAGAAGAAAAAAAAACCCTCACATCATATTTAGATACACCGTCCTATTGCTTAACAACAGGGTTTGTTCTAAGAAACACATCCCTCAGTGATTTTGTTGTGCAAACATCATAGAGGGTGCTTCCACAAACTGGGAAAGTCATGCCATCACTAGGGATATAGATTTGGGGGACCATTGTCATGTATGGGGCCCATGGATGATGGAGAAGTCCTTTTGGGGTGGCTGACTGACTATGGTCAATAGTCAAGGTTGGCTACCAGCTGAGGAGGTCATGGAGATGAGCAATTAGTTGTAAATGTCTCCTTTTGCTGCCTAATAGTGGTTTTAGTTCATATGGGGAAAATCCGGGAGCAGAGACACACCAGAGACTCAGCAGGGTTCCAGAAGGAAACTAGAGGCACAGCTGAAGATAGGCCCTTGACGTCTGAGCACAGGTGGACACCACCCACCCCTCCTGTCACCCAGCGTGGGATCCAGCAGCTCCTCCAGCAGAGGTTGGGGACCATCTGGTGAACTTGCAGTGGAAGTCAGGAAGTCTCACCCTTGACTTTAGTAAGAGAATAGAGAGGTGTGTTTTGAAAACTGTCAACTCCCAAATCTTCCTCCGATAAAATGGTTGAAGCCAGAGGAGCATTTTGTAGTTGGTGCCTGACCATCTTCTCTGTCTTCTCCTACCAGGACCCCCAGGGCCACAGGTGTCCTTTGGGAAGCCAGCCCACCCCAATTCTAGCCCATGCAGTGTGAGAGGTACCAAGAACAACCCGACTGCCTTGGGTTTGGGCCAGTGCTAAAATGGCTTTGAGAGAGAGACCTGGGATGCCTAGAGGTTTTATCAGTTCAGAGACATCCATGACGCATCTGAGGGGTGTGGCTCTGCAGTGTCCGCCGTTCAGACTACACCATGATTGTTACGGTTGGGACACGAGGTGTCCCCTGAGCACTCCTGTGCAGATGCAGGAGTGTTCAGAGGTGAAAGGACTGGATTGCAGGAGCTGCAGCCTCTTCAGTCCTTTGAATGGACTAACTGGTTGGAAACTGTAGGCAGGTGGGTTGTGGCTGGAGGAGGTGGGTCCCTGGGGTGTGCCCTAGAAAGGTCAGCTCAACCCTGGAACAGTGAGCTAGCATAAACTTCCCCTCCTCCTGGTTGTCCTGTCTGGTATTAGGGTCGCAGCCACCAAACCTGACTGACAGAGGCACTAGTGGCTGACGGATCCAGCTTCACCTTGGCCGGTGAACTCAGCTCCGTCATGTGCCTCTTGTCTTCCTCCGGGGACCAGCAGACCACCGACCAGCCCAGGTGTATCTTTCTCATGAGGAAGGCAGACACAGGACAGCCAGTCACTTGTGTCCTATGGAGCCAAACTGATGTCAACGTAGGCTGAGGAGTTATGACCAAAAATGTGTGGTTTGTAACTAAAAACTCTTCAGATTATGATGCTCCTCCTGTAAAAATGTAAAAAATTAGAAAATTACTATTATTTTGTTTAAAAAAAATCCTACCAACATGTCTGATGCTTTAAGTGAATGCACGTATGTGTGCACGGATCAGTTCCCAGGGGCCTCATTGCCCCCACCCTCCAGGGGAGGAAGCAGGATCAGAGGCTCCAGAGCAGGAGGAGTCAGCCCAGAGTCAGGCTGCCTTGCTCGAGTCCCAGCTCCACGCGTCCTAGTTCAGGCTCCGACCTCATCCTCCTTGTTCCATACCGTGATGATGACCATCATCCCTGCCCTTCTGAGGCCCTGTTAGGAAGACTTGAAGGGAGAATCCCTGTGGGCACTCCTCAGGTACCTGGACTAGCAGCTCATATGGTCCTGGTCCCTTGTTGTGATGGCTCAGGATTAGAGCTGAGCTAGGATCTGAACCCAGGTCTGTCCCTGCCACAGTCCTCCCCCTGCAGTCTCAGTGGACTGTCCTTTCTTTATGGGACAGACGGGCTGCCTGCTCCTCCTCCATCCCACACTCCTTACCGGTTTGCTTGGCTAATACCTGCTCATTGCCCAGGTGGAGCCCATGCTGCCCCTCCCCCTCCTTCCCTTCCCTCAACCTCCTTCTCCTTCTCCCCCTCTTCCTCCTTGCCCTCCTCCTCTTTCTCCTCCTCCTCCTCCTCCCCTCCCCTCCCCTCCCTGTCCTTTATCCTCCCCACCTTACTCCTCCTCCCCCTCCTCCTCAGTGCTGCTGTGACACCTGACTGCACCCACAGCTACAGCGCTGTTGCCCCTGTACACAGTCACCTCATTGCTGGCTTGTGCACCCCGATCTCTGAGCCTTTTGAAAGCAATAGTTGTGTTTTTCTTATATCAGCAGTACTGGCATGTAACAGATACTACTGGTTCAATAACAACTCTAATCAGATTTTTTAAATCCAAGAACATATGAACTGAAAGGTACCACTGAGCTGTCTCCTCTAATGAATCTACAATGGGCCCTGCCACCTCCTAGGGGACATTTTGGAAACACATGCTGGTGTTTCAAGCTATCACAATGATGGAGGGACACTTCCTGTATTTGGAGGGGGACTGGGTGCTAAAGGACAGATAAGACTAGAACAGTCCCACACGTTTCTAGACAGACATTTATTTAGATGAATAACCTGTTTATAATCACTTGAGACTCAAATCTAACTTTAATTTACACAAGGTATTTTTGTACAGTTTTAATGCCTCTGAATATTCCATGATACAACCATTATGTACATCCAGGGGTCATACACTGCATCCAGAAAAAGTTGCTTGTTTTTTTTTTTTCCCCTCACCATTGTGGAAAAAAACCACATGACCAAAACCAGCAACGTGGCTGGTGGTACCTGAATGCCCAGGACCATCCTCCTGCGCCACCTGCACCTGTGGCTCCTCCCCTCGGGATCACCGTGTCCATCATGGAGCAAGTCATTCCAAATCAAAGCAGGAGCGGTCTCCCCTGTGACTGCACTTGGCCAGGCTTGGCAGCTCTAGGCCGGGCTCAGCTGGCAGAGCTGCTCCAGGCCTGGTCAGCCAGGCAGGGCTTCTGCTTGGATTGGACCCATGCTGCTCCGTGTGTCCCTGTGGGGCCAGGCTGAAGGGGCAGCAGAATCCTGGAAGAGGCTCTCCTTGTGAGTTTTGGCCAATGCACAAGAGAGCAAGTCCCACTGCACTGCGGATGTCAAGTCCCACTTCAGTCTTGTTTGCCATTACCCACTCGGCCCATGCAGGAGGTGGAGATGGAAGAAAGTGATATTTTTTCTTTGATGTGCTGGGGATGCACCGCGAGGCCTCACACATGCTAGGCAATTGCTGCACCACTGAGCTACGTCACATTCCCA